CAGTGGATAGAGCATTGGCCTGCGGACTGAGGGGTCCCAGGTTCAATTCCGGTCAGGGGCATGTGCCTTGGTTACGGGTACATCCCCGGTGGGGGGTGTGCAAGAGGCAGCTGATCGATGATTCTCATCGATGTTTCTAACTCTCTATCCCTCTCTCTTCCTCTCTGTAAAAAATCAATAAAATATATATTTTTTAAAAATGCTGAAGGAAATAGTAAAACAACGCTGCCTATGGAATAAGGAAAAAGATGAATCACCCTGGGATGCAGAGGAGGAGAAATAGTTTCTTGTAAGATAAAATGAGACCAGGAAAACCTAAATGACACAACTGTCTTTCTGTTCTGTTCCTGGATGAATTTATTCTAGAGCTTAAATATATAGTTCTCATTATTTAAGGCTCCTCTGATTATCATGCCTTTACTTTTTTGAGCTCTTTTTACACAGATCAGCTCTTAATTACCATCCTGCCTAGAGGGGTTCAGACACCCCTGCCATCTTCCTCCCTTCCCCTCCCATCTCCCTCTCCCTCTCCCTCTCTCCAAACTAAAAAACTGGATTGCTGCCCTAGTCAGTTTGGCTCAGTGGATAGAGCATCAGCCTGCAGACTGACGGGTCCCAGGTTCGATTCCTGCTAAGGGCACATGCCCAGGTTGCTGGCTTGATCCCCAGTGGGGGGTGTACAGGAGGCAGCCAATCAATGATTTTCTTTCATCATTGATGTTTCTGTCTCTCCCTCTCCCTTCCTCTCTGAAATCAATAAAAGAATTATGTTGTTTTTTTTAAAACTGGATTGCCAATTGCTTTTTCAGATGAGTGTAAAAAGTCACATTAGATAAAAGTTTTGTTCAGCTGGGGTTTACATGAAGACCTCTAGAAATCAGCAAGGCTCAATTCTTTTCTTTTTTTTTTTTAAGTATTTTTTTAAATATATTTTATTGATTTTTTACAGAGAGGAAGAGAGAGAGATAGAGAGCCAGAAATGTTGATGAGAGAGAAACATCGACCAGCTGCCTCTTGCACACCCCCTACCGGGGATGTGCCCGCAACCAAGGTACATGCCCTTGACCAGAATCAAACCTGGGACCTTTCAGTTCGCAGACCGATGCTCTACCACTGAGCCAAACCGGCTTCGGCAAGGCTCAATTCTTGTCTCCCTCACCAGTGTGTTCCTCCTCCAGATTCCTCTGGGTCAGTAAATGGACTGCCATTGGCCAAGTAGCTCTTGACAGAAACCTAGAAGTTATCCTCACTCTCTCTCCCTCGCCTCTCACATCAAACTCTCTATCTCTCTCCTGTCCTCTCTGTAAAAAAAAAAAAAAAAAAAAAAAAAAAAAAAAAAAAAAAAAAAATCAATAAAATCAATCAATAAATAACTCATCACAAAAATTGTTTTAAAAAAATCCTGTGTGAGTGCTATTGGCTCTACCCATGCAGTGCATCAGACTGATTCACTTCTCTCCATTCCCACTGTCCCTGTGACCACCTAATTGGATAACTGAATTGGCCATGGCCAGAAGACAGGATCCGTTAATATGGACGTGGCCAATGGGGACTCACCCTGCCCCTATGGATTCATTTCCATGGTTGGGAGTGAGGTGCTCACCTCTGGAGATAACCTGTGCTCTTCAGCCTCACCTTGCTCTAATTCCCCGCCTCCCCTCCCCTCCACACACACACCAGCAGCGGCCTTAGGCCTTCTTTCATTCCTGCAAATTCCTAGCTCTCCCCAAACGCAGTCTTCGCACATGCTGTTCACGGTGCCTGCTATACTCTTTCTTCTCCACTGTGCTGATTATAGACTTAATGCTTCTCAGCTCCCAATTATTGTTATTATTATTATCATCATCATCATCATCGTCATCATCGTCAACATCAACATCATCGTCGTCATCATCATCATCATTTGGCTTGTTTTATGAAAATCTATCTGTTCCTTTAAATTAATTTCCTTTGTCAGCAGACACCATGCTAAGCGTTGTCAGTAGAGGGAACTAGAGAGACACCGCAGGAGGCAAAAGGTCTTCCTGTGTCTGGTTTCCTTTCTTGGCGGCTCCTGTCTGTGGGCTGCTCCTCTGGCATCAGGCTCCTTCCTGCACACATGCTGCTTCCTGGCACCCCCTGGGCAATTGTGTACAGAGTGCCTCCTCACCTCGAGCAGCTTTTCCCAGAACCTTGGAGATGCAGATTTCTGGAAAGTTCCAGAGGGTGGAGTTCCAGCAAGTTCCACAGATATAGAGTGCAGGGACCTCCCTGCCATCCAGCCACCCACAGCCATGAGCTCTCTTCCCAGGGGGTCTGGATCTCTAGCTCAAGGGTATTCCTTATCTCTGCTATTCCTCTGTCACTTCTTACTAGGCAATCCATTGTGACTCCAGTCCCCCTCCGCCATGTATAGTTAATAATTCTTTTTATCAAATTTCCCTCTTTCAATTACATGTGGTTCCTCTCTCCTGATTGGATTCCCAGACTGATACACACCCCCACTTTCACCTGGCTAATTTTGCTCATCCTTTAGGTGTTAATATCATTTTCTCACATCTCAAATCATATCCCTCTCCTTTTTATTCATAACATCTTCCACAATTCTAAAATTACATATGAATTTGTGTGACATTATGCCTTTGCCTTGCCCCCTTGATAATAAGCTCTAGGAGGATAGTGATCATGTTTATTTACTGATGTAATCCCAGTGCCTGTTATAGTGCCCGACCCAACAATGGTCATTAAATGAAAAGAGCGGTGAATCTTTAATGAGGTCTTATTATATGCAAGTTGCTGGTGGCAATTAAAAAAAAATCGAACTCAATTCCTGTTCACAGGAGGATGACAAATTTATATGAGAAAACAAGACCCACACAAAAAATATAAAGCGGTAAAAGGAAGTTTCCAAAAGAATGACATAAGCTATAAGTACTAGTAACTCAGAGACAACCAAAAACTTCATTTTTAAAAGATTTTGTGTCTTCTAAACATCCTGAGAAGTTAATTTCTTCTTAGAAAATAGTCGCATTCTGTCCAGTTTCTTCATCTGGAAATGAGGGCTGTACTGTACACTCACAGGTCCCTGCCAGCTCTCCGAGGACAGGCACACACTTGAGCCTTCAGTTGAGCAATAATTCCCAGTGCCAAGTGTGTTTCCTGCTGAAAGCTCACCATTGAATCAGTACAATTGTAAATTTTATTTAAAATATACAGTGAGGTTTGACATTTTGAGGTGTCAAATGCTCATTAATTTTGACTCCTTAGTCCACATTGTCATATAATGCAACTTTCCTGGCCTTCAGCTTCCTGATTAGAGTAATATATTGATAATATAATGTTGAGTTTTTATTCAATTAGTAAACATTTTCCTGGTACACATTCTGTCCCAGGCACCGAGGACACAGAATTAATACAGGATTCCTGTCCCCTATGTTTAGGGTCAATGGGAGGAGGAAACTGGGGTTATAAACATCAGTTAGAAAGGCATTGTGGTGATTCACTTATAAACCACAATACACCATTCCCTTATTTCTAGTATAAATAAATAAAAACGCTACCTTCCATAAGAAATAAAGTAGAATGGAGATTTTTCAAGGTGTACGCCGGTGTCAAACAGCAAAACGAAAAAAACAAAGATTTGTTTGATCATAGGCTTGGAAACAGGGGATGCCAAATGAAAGACTCGTTGACTAAGGGCTTTGAAACTCACAGTGGAGGGTGAACTTTGCACACAGTGGGCGCTTTCAATGTATAACAACGAATCTAAACCTATAACAATGAGTATCTGCAAATGCAATTGAACGCGAGACGGCTAAAGAACTTTGCATGTCAACTAGCCAGTGCAGATCAGAAATGAAACATCCCCCGCTGCTAAAATGAAGATTTAGAAAAGCGACACTCAACCTCCAGTAGGGTTGGGAGCTCCTCACCCAAGTACCTCTGGGAGACTAGGATGCGCTCCCACGGGGCCATCGGGCTTTCCGTTTGTGACCGGATTATGTTTTATTGCTTCGTTTTCAGTTTCTGTCTGATTAGGCATCCTCCTCACTGCCAGACCAACATCTCCAGGCTTCCCTAGGGGCCCTGCTGAGTGCAGCTGCAGCTCCGGGTAGGGAGGCCTGAGCCAGGGGCCGCGCACCACCTGCCCGCATCCACCAGCCATCTGCTGCCAACCTCCTCCCAGCACCCGGCGGCGGGGAGAGCTGGCTTCCCATTGGCTCAGGCGGGGGGCATGGACGCCTCCGATTGGCTTAGAGGAGGGCGGGGCGGAGGCGTGTCCCGACGGCACACCGGCCCCTGGAGCCCGCCGCTCAGGATTCTGGGAGGGAGGAGAATTCCGAGGAGGAGGAACTATCCCCGAACGACCTTCTCCCGCTCGGGTCTGCATCCCATCCGGGGCCAGGGTCCCCTCCCATCCATCCACCCCCCCCCCAGCGCCCCGGGCGGGCTCCACCCCCACCCGGGCGGGCTCCACCCACCCCCGGGCGGGCTACACCCCCCCCTCGGGCGGGCTCCACCCCCCCCGGCGGGCTCCACCCCCCCCTCCCCGGGCGGGCTCCACCCCCCCCCCCCCCCGGGCGGGCTCCACCCACCCCCGGGCGGGCTCCACCCACCCCCGGGCGGGCTCCACCCCCCCCCCGGGCGGGCTCCACCCACCCCCGGGAGGGCTCCACCCACCCCTCCCCGGGCGGGCTCCACCCACCCCTCCCCGGGCGGGCTCCACCACCCCCTCCCCGGGCGGGCTCCAGCCCCCCCCCCCCCCCCCCTGGGCGGGCTCCACCACCCCCTCCCCGGGCGGGCTCCAGCCCCCCCCCCCCCCCCCCGGGCGGACTCCACCCACCCCCGGGCGGGCTCCACCCACCCCCCGGGCGGGCTCCACCCCCCCCTCGGGCGGGCTCCACACCCCCCCCCCCCCCCGGCGGGCTCCACCCACCCCCGGGCGGGCTCCACACCCCCCCCCCGGCGGGCTCCACCCACCCCCCGGGCGGGCTCCGCCCCCGCGCCGCGCCGGCGCCGGGGTCACGTGACCGCTGCCGGCGCAGTCACGTGCCGGGCGCGCCCGCCTGTGGTGGCCATGGCGGCCGCGGGCTCCGGTGTGGCCAGGCGGGTGGAGGAGTTGGGGGACCTCGCTCAGGCCCACATCCAGCAGCTCAGCGAGGCCGCCGGCGAGGACGGTGAGGGGCGGCGGAGGGGAGGCGGGCGGGTGGGCAGCGCAGAGCGGGCTGCGGCCGTGGGCGCGGGGGCTGCGGCCTGCGGGCGGCGGGCGGCGGGCGCGGGCAGCGTCCGTCCCGCGGGCAGCGTCCGTCCCGCAGGACGCGCCTCGCCGTGGGCTAAGGCGTTGGCGTCGGGGCTGCGTGTTTGCATCCCGGTCAGATCGGGGCTGCTGGCCTGGCATTGGCTCGGGGCCCGGGGACCTGGGCAGGGTCCGAGCACGGTGCCCAGGACGGTGTACCTGCCCAGGCCGGTGTCAGCACCCAGGCCCTGCGGTGCGCGCCGGAGGGAGCGAGGCCAGTGTCACCGACGCTTTTATTGCCTCGTTTTCAGTGTCTGTCTCCTTTGGGATTCCAAGCTCAGCCGTTAACAATCTCCACGGAAGGGCATTGCATTGGTACCGTTCACACGACTCTTTCACAAGCATCACCTCTGTTCCCACCAGCGCCCTGTCAAGATTGGAACACTTATTTGTTAAGGGAAATTATGCTCCCAATTTGTTTTTTATTTTTATTTTTTTAAAATATATTTTATTGACTTTTTACAGAGGAAGGGAGAGGGATAGAAACTCAGAAACATCGATGAGAGAGAAACATCAATCAGCTGCCTTCCGCACATTCCCCACTGGGGATGTGCCCGCAACCAAGGTACACGCCCTTGATCGGAATCGAACCCGGGACCCTTCAGTTCACAGGCCGATGCTCTATGCACTGAGTTAAGCTGGTTTGGGCAGGATTAGAACACTTTAAACAACAGCTATTTCCTTAAGAAAAAAAGAAAAAGAGAATTGCCTCGACTTCTCATAGTAAGTCTAGTTCTTTTTCATGGCTTCTCAGCTGAGTCCTGAGCCTTTATTACAATACAGACTGCTTTTAAATTCCTGTGGACTCACTGTCGTCGCACTCAGGAAATAGTGGGACATTGACCCCAGTGATTGAATAACTAGTTGGTAAATCTGTTGACTAGGGTCTATGATGAGATAGCTCTAGTTCTAGTGAGTGGAATTATTTTTTTTCTTAGCGGTGTGTTCTTCAAAATCCATAGAATACCCAGAAGCCAACTTCTTAGAATTTCGGTGTGGTAAGTCAATTCCAGGATGCACATGAGTAGTTAGTTGATGGACAGTAGTGGCTTTTAACCTGCAACTATACCTAAGTTACTTCTAAATAAGCTATTTAGGAAGTTTTCAGTCTAGCTTTCCAGAATAAATTTCCATGATAAATTAGTTTATTTAGGATTAGGTATTATGTTATATTTGTTTTACATAAAATATTATTGCTATCATGCTCTTCTCCAAATGCCAAACATAATTTTATTTAATCATTTAAGATCCATAATTTTTTTTTTGTTTAATAAGTAATCAACATGTTTTTATCTCTTACAGATCACTTTTTAATTCGGGCCTCTGCAGCTCTAGAAAAATTGAAACTCTTGTGTGGAGAAGAAAAAAAATGTTCAAATCCATCAAATCTATTAGAACTATACACACAGGTACTAAGACATGTGGTTTCTGACATGTTATGGGGCAAATTGCTTAATTAGAGGATCAATTCCAATGTTCTAATAAAATCAGAATTCTCTATTTCAAGTGTTTGATTTTGTTCAAAAGCTGTATGTACAAAGAATACAGACTTGAAACTTTGAGGCAATATGCAATGAAGTAAAGATTTGGTAGATGTGTATTGATAAGAAAAGTAAGGAATAAAGTCTTGCAGGTAACAGAATTGCTTCCCTTTATAGGTAAGTAAGCAAAACAGGACCTTGTCCAGTTTCAAAGGTTTTAAAGGTTATTCAGAAGAAATGGAGGATTCTAAAGAGCCCTAGTTATTTTCCCCCCCTGAATTCTCCTTTCCTTGGGATTCTGAACATGACTCCCCCCTTTGTTATCATGCAAGTCTGTAAGATTGTTCTGTTGCCCCCTTTCCCTTTTTTTCTTTTGCTTTACTTTCAAATTCAGGCATCTGTATGGAGATAAGATCTGTTTTCTTGGTTTTCTCAAACACTGCTGAGGAAAGTTGATATTAAACATTATTTCATTGCTAGAGGCCTGAAGCACGAAATTCCTGCAAGAATAGGCCTTCCTTCCCCCGGCTGCTGGCACTGGCTTCCCTCTAGAGTCTAGCACATGGGAGTTGGGCTTTCCTCACAGCCCCGGCTTTGTCTGGAAGGACGTCCGGTCTAATTAGCACAGTACGCTTTTATTATTATAGATAGTAACTAACATTACTGCAACATCTTATAGCTTATAATAGAGTGATTCATATGCCCTTATTTGATCCTCAGGGATAATAGCGGTGAGTGTTTATAGAAAGTAAAGTAATTGGTGGCTATAAAAATAGTGGCGGGGAAGTAAGTATAGCATGGGAAATATAGTCAACAATATTGTGATGACCATGTATGGTGCCGGTTGGGGCACTGGAAATATGTAAAGTTTATGGTTAATAACTAAGCTGTACACCCCAAACCCTTGGTCTGCAAACTGCGGCTCTTTGGCCCCTTGAGTGTGGCTCTTCCACCAAATACCACGGCCTGGGCGAGTCTATTTTGAAGAAGTGGCATTAGAAGAAGTTTAAGTTTAAAAAATTTGGCTCTCAAAAGAAATTTCAATCATTGTACTGTTAATATTTGGCTCTGTGAACTAATGAGTTTGCCATCACTGCTCTAACAAACTGAGCTATCTGGCCAGGGCCTCAAATTTAAATAGTGCTCTCGGAAAATAAATGTCTAATAAAACATCTGTACTTATGTAAAGTTAAACTGTAAGAGTTATTCAGGTTGAAATCATTTACAGCTGTTATTTTCTCTTGTACATCATCAGGCTATTTTGGACATGACATATTTTGAGGAGAACAAGCTAGTAGATGAAGATTTCCCGGAAGACTCTTCACAGAAAGTAAAAGAGTTGATCACTTTTCTTTCAGAACCAGAAATTTTAGTTAAAGAAAATAATACGTACCCCAACGTAAGTTTTACACTTGTGAATGATGGTGAAGCTGCTAATTCTCACTGTATGGACTGCTGTTTAGAGTCTGTATTTTTTTTTAATATGTCTGTGTTTTAAATTAAGATTGAAGGAGGGATTATGAGAATTTAACTCTTCAGACCAATGTCACACCTAAAGTACTGTATTTTACTAAATATGTTTCAGAATATTTTCCTGATGTACTTGTAATTACAAGTACCTGATCATTTTCTAAGCAGATATTTGCTATTTCTGCTCCCTTTACTTTCACAGATACTGCATTTTCTTGAGGGTCCCGTAATTACATTACCACATCCCATGTCCTTTTACCGTCTTGTTCTTCTCCAACCTCTCCCCTTCCTCCCATCCTGGATACAGGCACCTAAGGATACCGCCTTAATCCCCTGACAGTCTCTATTCTTGCTTTACAGCCTGTTGTGTGCTTGTTACAGCATCTCTATTTAGGTGATTCCAAGATTTTTATCTTCAGCCATGGCTACTTTTTCAAGGAAATAATTTCTTATCTTTAACTGCTTGCTGCTTATCTCCCCTTAGATATCTTTCATGCTGTATGTGTTTATGAGGGGATGCTATTATAGAAACAAATACTCCCAAATTTTAAATGACACAACACAGTAAAGGTTAGATTGAAATTGCTTTTGTGTATATCTTTCTATTATTTTACTCTAGCAATGATAGAAATAGGTAACGACTTGCTTTAAGAAACATGTAGTTCTAAAAGCTATCTTTTATCAGATTATTGAATATTTATATTTTATATACATTTGAATTTGCTACTAAAATATTTAAATCATTTTCTAAAAATGTAAGTAGAGTACTTACTTTAATTTTCATGAAGCATTAAATATTTGTATTTCTGATTGATTTAAAGTAAGGCATTCCTGGGTAAATAACTTAATGAAGAGCAAGTATTGTGAAATGAGTGTTTTTAATTTCTCAGTATTTTGAAATTTAACTTTGATTTTTTGCAGACATCAAATTTCTCTTCTTAGCTATCTCTGTTGTGTTTCAGCACTGCGATTTACTTGGGGACGAACTCTTGGAATGTCTCTCTTGGCGACGAGGAGCCCTGCTTTATATGTATTGTCATTCTCTGACCAAAAGGAGAGAGTGGCTCACGAGAAAATCTGCTTTGCTTAAAGAGGTAAAAAGGCATTCCTCCTTTCTGATTGTTGACATTTATAGTTTCCTAAAAGCTGTCTTTGATGTGGTGTAAAGACTATTGGAATCGAGTGGTCTTCATTCCACGTCTTTTGCTTACTAGCTGTGTTATTGTAAACAAGTTGGACTTACTGTGGAGATTAAATAAGATAACACGTGAAAGCTCTTTGCTTACTGGAAAGTTCTATAAGTTCATGATTTGTTGTTGTTTTTTAAATATAAGGTAGTTAACATATATTAAATTTTAAGCATAGTTTTTGGCCTGAAGAAAACAAATGTGGTTATGAGCTGCTCTGTCAGCAGGTTGCTCTTGGAGAACCCACGTGATCCTGCTGCTAGAAAACTGACTGATTTGGTTTGACTCTCAGACCAAATCAATAAATCTCAAGACGGTCTTAGTATTGTGTCACTAGGGAGTCCAACTGGGATTGATTGTACATATGGTTCCTGGCAGCCTGGAAATGAGAGGTCACCCTTTTAGGTGTAAAAGTTTGAGCACTCCATTTCTAAATTATAGTAAGTTCATACATATTTTTAATAAATTGTTGAATACACCATTTTTAAAAAATATATTTATTTTTATTTCAAAGAGGAAGGGGGAAGAGAGAGAGAGAAACGTCAATGATGAGTAGGAATCCATTGGCTGCCTCCTGCATGCTCCCTACTAGGGATTGAGCCCCGCAGGCTGGGCATGTGCCCATGACTGGAATTGAACCTTAGATCCTTCAGTCCGCAGGCCAACGCTTTATCCACTGAGCCAAACCAGTTAGGTCTGTTGAACACATCTTTATCCTTTTCTTCCTCTGAGAACATTTTTGACAAGTATGTTACTGAATGGTGTGTTCTTGGTTAATGATTTTTTTTTTCTTCCATACTCATCACTGGAGCATTTTGAGGTGACACTTTAGAATATATATTATAAAAGTTTGAGGTAATGGATCCTTAGACTATTGAAATGTATTAGCAATAAGACCTAGCTATTATTAGCCCATTTCTCTTGAGTAAAGAAGGGAAAAAATTAACATTTGAAGTTTCTATAGCTATGTATATAATACTTTCAATTCTTTGGCTTTGACTTTCATTTAGTACCTTGTTGATGGAATCAGTTACTTGCTACAGATGCTAAATTATCGGTGTCCTACCCAATTAGATGAAGGAGTTTCTTTCCAAGACCTAGACACAGCTAAGTTACTGAGTGAAGGTAATGTGATCTCTTTTTGAAGTTTTTGTCTTTAAAGGTTTTTAAAAATTTAAGTTTATCATATTTTACTCTGATTTAAGTAAATTTCAAGTTACATCATAGACAAAAATAATAAAATGGCTTCTAAAAATTCAGAGATCTTCTCATGTAGTATAGAAAAATATTGCTAACCTCTCTGTTTTGTCATTTTGGGAGCGTTATAAATCATGTTACATTTTACATCCCGCCATAGCCCTGATCAACAACTAGGTTTCACCACTTGTAACAGAAATTGGAAGTAACTTTGAAACAAGATAGAACTGGACTGCTCTTGCACATAAAAAAGACCCAGAGCTGGTTATGTTGGCTTCCTGGTGTCATCAGGTTCCTGCGTTTTTCCTTCATCATCTTGAAAATCAGAGTTCTTCAGCTTCAGAGAGAGGCACTGTATATAGAATACAGTGTGGGCGGGACTTCCCAGTGCCGTGCAGCATGCGTCCCTGTGAGGATACTGCTGGCGTCCTGTGTGTCCCAGCATGCTCCTTGAGTGCCTCCATCTCACCTGTTTCAGTCTACAGGGGTGGCAAAAGGTGTTTCTTTCACCCAGGTCCACTCCTTTGGAGCATCACTTTTCCCTGCATTTCACTGGCCAGAGTTGAATCACACGGATTCATGTAACTACAAGGGATCCTACAAAGTATAGTCCTTTTCTGGTCTATTGCCATCCCAAATAAAATTAAGTCTCTTTACTAAGAAAGAAAGAAAGAATGAATGAATGAATATTGGGTGGCAACTATTAGTTTCTGCCACGAGCATTTATGCACCAAAAAATGTGAAGAATTGGATATAGAGGATCATCTCGGTTTTAGACTGAGGTCCAGGAGGAAGAAGCACTTATTTTTACCATCTCTTTACAAATGGAGGAACTGTAGCCCTGATAAACCAGATAGTATACCTGCTCATAGTCATGTAGCTGGCAAGTGATGTTGTATAAGTCACATGGCTGGCAAGTGTAAATGTTCTTTTATACTTGATCTGAAATTTTGATGGGGAAAAGGAAACTTCTTAGAGAATATTCTATATTTTCATTATATATATATATATATATATATATATATATATATATAATTTTAATTCTACTTTGATAGTTGCTGTAGGCTTTTTCTATTAAAAAAATTGCATAGAAAAAACATGATATAAGTGTCATTAATAATATAATGGGCTTGTGGTATCCAAAAACTTTTAATTTCAGTTAATTCAGGCAAATAACCTGTCCTGGAGAAGCTTTATTATGAATACAAAGTGCTCCTTCAGTAGACATTTTGACAGACATGGGGTGTTTTGATTTACTTATGGAAAGTACTTATTCCAGATAACTAGTGAACCGATTAGCTGCACTCAAAATGGCTTTTTTAAAATCTCTTTATGGTCCATTCGCATGGATTAATTTAAAAGAAAAGGTAGGGTTGGTCACTAAAGCCTATTTAGAACCAAAGAAAGTGGCACAAGCCATCTATTTCCCTGCTCCCATTTGTAGCCACAAGATAAAATACTCTCGTGGCCTGAAACTTTCTCTTCAAAGCGCATCTGATACTGGTGTCTGCTCTTATTTTTAAAAACTTAATTTATAGGGGACACTGGTTAAGATTATATGGGTTTCAGGTGCATAATTGTACAACACATCATCTGTAACCCTGTGTGTGTGTTCATCACCTCAAGTCAAGTTCTGGTGTCTTCTCTTAGATCAGTGGTTCTCAACCTTTCTAATGCAGCTCCTTTAATACAGCTCCTCATGTTGTGGTGGCCCCCAACCATAAAATTATTTTCATTGCTACTTCATCACTGTAATTTTGCCAATCTGCCACCTTTTTAATGTGACCGCCTCCTTTTGCCCTCACTCACTCACTCACTCACTCACTCTCCCTCTCTCCCTCTCCGCTCTGTATTCCCGCTATCACGTATGCATCCTAGACTGTGCCGGCAAGTGAAGTAGTTTATCTAGAAACAATAGACTGATTACAAAGCACTGGATTCCTTGGGGCAGTAGAGAGGTAGAACGTGCCAAAATTCACATTGTTCCATCCTTCTCATGCAGGGTATTTTAATGCAGCAGTTTAGCATAGTCCACGGCATCAGCATCATCCTAGACCAGTGTTTTTCAACCTTTTTTGGGCAAAGGCACACTTGTTTCATGAAAAAAAATCACGAGGCACACCACCATTAGAAAATGTTAAAAAATTTAACTGTGCCTATATTGACTATATATAAAGTAATTCTCTTGAATAGGAATCAAATAAACACAAAGAAAGTATTTTATAATTACTTTATTATGAAATATTAAGTAAACAAAATAGTGAAAAATTATAAAATTCTTGTCTTGTCTGCACCTACGGCACACCAGGCAACATCTCGCGGCACACTAGTGTGCCACGGAACAGCCGTTGAAAAACACTGCCCTAGATCCTAGGCTTTGTTAAAAATGCAAATTCATAGTCCCAGCTCCCTCCCTGAATCTGATATTCTGGAAGTGGAGGCCCAGTAGTCAGCATTTTAGCACATCTCAGGAATTCTAAAGCAGGCTAAAGTTTAAGGACCTCTCTTTGTTTTATAGCCATTCATTTGGTCCCTGGTAAAATCTTCCAGTAGGATATCTGTGTCCCATATTCAGCAGTCACTCCTTGTTAATATAAAGAATGAGGTTCCGCCGAGACCGGTTTGGCTCAATGGATAGAGCATCGGCTTGGGGACTGAGAGGACCCGGGTTCGATTCCGGTCAAGGGCATGTACCTTGGTTACGGGCATATCCCCAGTAGGGGGTGTGCAAGAGGCAGCTGATCAATGACTCTCTCTCAGCGATGTTTCTGGCTCTCTATCTCTCTCCCTTCCTCTCTGTACAAAATCAGTAAAATATATTAAAAAAAAGAAAAAAAAGAAAAAGAAGAATGAGGTTCCCTTGGAGTTGGGCACAAATGGGATCCCAGTTCTCACCCTATCCAAGTGGCTTCACTTCCTGGGATATACTTCAGCTCCTACTCCCCAACCTGCAGCCTGCTTTATGTTCAGCCTTCCCTCCATTTCGATTTCTACCTCCTTTCTCTCCTCCACCAATTTTTTTAAAGCCTTTTTTATACCACTGAGGACCAACCCATTAATTTTAGGAATAATTAAGTAAAGTGTAGGATTACAGAAATAAAAAGGCTATGCATTCAGTGAAATGCTGAATCTAATACAAAATATAATTCTGAATAACATCTAATGCTGCTGCAGCTTTTTCTCTGAGGTTTATGGTATTTTTAGCATGAAGGAATAAAGTGAAAAGAAATGATTATATGTAATATGTATTGTACTTATTAAGTGAATATTGGTTTATACACAAAGTGTAACATAGTGTTGTCTATCATATTTTCATGAATGCAAGCCTCAGATTCTGCTCTTAAATGATCATTTCTTTTATTGATAATAACAGTTTAATGAGTCAGATCTTCAGCTCAATCGTTCCTTCTCTTGCTACTGTTTATAAGCAGGATTTGAGGGGAAGTGAAAAGAATAGTTGTAGGGACAAATTCTCAGACTATGAAAGCTTGCAATGGAGTCAAGATGATAGGAACTGTAACAGTTTGGAAAGTTGAATTTTTCTTCTATTTTTTGTGTCTTTAGTACCATCATAATCCTTTCTGATGAGTTATATTAATTAGGTGAACAACTGAGATTATGATCCTCATTTATTTGAAGTAGACTTTTCTCACACAAGTACCTGTACATTAGAATAAAATGTATTTTTAGTGCCTTTAAGAAGTTAATTAGTCATAGTTTATACTGTAGTCAGTTATTTATTCATATTTTTTATTCCAAGTGTATTCCTCTTTCTACCAGATTAATATACTTTGTGTGCCACAAATATTTAATTGTATAATTGCCTTATTTCATAATAAGATTGCTTTAATTTTTGATGGAAATCCTGCATGTATTTCCTTTTCCTGAGGACATAAAACATCTTAGATATAATTTAGCATCTTTGATAATTTAGAATCAAATGGCCTCTCGGGCTCATGTTTCTTCAAAATACATTTTTTTATTTCTATATTTTTATTGATTTCAGAGAGGAAGGGAGAAGGAGAGAGAGATTGAAACATCAATGATGCGAGAGAATCACTTATCAGCTCTCTTCTGCATGTTCCCTATTGGGGATCAAACCTACAACCTGGGTATGTGCCCTTGACCAGAATTGAACCTGGGACCCTTCAGTCTGCAGGCTGACGCTCTATCCACTGAGCCAAACCAGCTAGGGCTAAATACATTTTTATTGATTTCAGAGAGGAAGGGAGAGGGATAGAAAGATAGAAACATCGATGAGAGAAAATCATTGATTAGCTGCCTCCTGCATGCCCCCCACTAGGGATGGAGCCCGCAATCCAGACATGTACCCCAACCAGGAATCAAATCGTGACCTCATGGTTCATAGCTTGACGCTCAACCACTGAGCCATGATGGCTGGGCTCAGGGTCATGTTTATGCATGGTAACTTCTATAGACCTGTAGAAATGTAGGAGTTGTAGTGTACTTGACTGGAACTGTAATATTGATTCTAGAGTACATTCTAGTTGTTTTCATGGTGGCCTTCAGGGAGACTCTGAATACTCTGCAGTTGTGTGTAGAATTTTGGGCATATGTTCTAGGAGAGGTTCCATTGATTAGATTCTCAAAAAGGTCTTAAAGAGGATTCCAAAAAGGTTAAGAACACACTGACCTAAGTGATCTGTTTTTAAAAATTTTCTGACAGTACTCTTACCCCCTCCCCCGTGGGGGTGGGGGATGGGTTTTCCTATTTATAGATAAAATTAAAATAGAGTGCCATTTAAATGAAGATCGCATTAGTGATATTTGGCTTTTCTAAATGAGAAGGAAAAATGATGATATAAAAGGAATTTATTATAGTTTTATTAATCAGTTTCTTTTTTGAAGTTTTAAATTCTAATCTCTCAACCTGAATGACTTTTCTAGGAATATTCAGTGACATTCACTTGCTGGCTATGATGTACAGTGGAGAAATGTGTTACTGGGGATTGAAGCATTGTGCAGATCAGCCAGAAAACCAGGGTGTGGACACTGGTGTTACTGGAGCAAGCTACACTACACACAGAGAGCCCTTGGATTTCCGAGAAGTAGGAGAAAAAATTTTGAATAAGTATGTATTTGTGTGCGAAGGACCCCTGAAAGAGCAAGAATGGAACACAGCAAATGCAAAGCAAATTTTAAACTTCTTCCAGCATCGCGCTAATTCATAAGTTTAGTCCTTTTCAAACAGAAAAGCAGAAAGACCCATGAAATGGAAACGTTCCAAAAAAGAAGACATTGACACTAAGAATGTCACACTACATAAAGATGCCCAGCGTGGTTCCCTTTTTAAAATGCCATCACCATAGTCCATTATATATTCTTAACTCTGTGAAGGAACAGTTCTCTCATTTCTAAAATGGCATGTATGTTAACCTAACTCAGCCTGAACTACAGATATCCTGTAACTAATATTAAGGAAGAATCTAATTTCGCTGTACAAAGATTTTTTTCTGTTACTTCAGATTATTATTATTTATTATTATTACTTTATATATAGAGAGAAATGTCAATAATGAGAGAAAAGCTATTGGTTGCCCCCAACCGGAGAGCAAGCCTGAACCTGGCTGGGTATATGCCCTGGCTGGGAATTGAACTCTCCACCTTTTGGTGTACAGGATGACATGCCAACCGAGCTTCAGATTCCTTTTTTTATTGAGGTAAATTGTAACATAAAATTGACCATTTTAACTATATTTAGGTCTTTATCTTAAAATTTGCTGTGCTTCAAAAGTTGAAGTCAAGTCAACTTTTTAAAAAATATATATTTTATTGATTTTTTTACAGAGAGGAACGGAGAGAGATAGAGAGTTAGAAACATGGATAAGAGAGAATCATCGATCAGCTGCCTCTTGCACACCCCCCACTGGGATGTGCCCGCAACCAAGGTACATGCCCTTGACCAGAATCGAACCCAGGACCCTTCAGTCCTCAGGCTGACGCTCTATCAACTGAGCCAAACCGGTTTTGGCTCATCTCATTATTTTGGATGTATGTATGCTATGCATATAGAAATTGGCAAAATTACGATGAATATTCAGATTCCATTGCCAGAATAAGATAAATAATGAAAGACTTCACAAAAGAACTGTTGTTTAATTATTTTACCGTGTACTACAAATAGCACTTAACTGTTTTATCCCTCCCATTAGACATTTTGTAAAAGGTTAAGATGATTTTCTTTTCTTGTTTAAAGATTATGCAAGATTTACCAGACGAGTGATAAGGATGAAAACCAAGTTAGGTTACTGTTAGCTCACATGCCTTTAGGACACATCTTTTCCTATGGATTGGCATTTCTGTCCGTTTTTTGTCTTTAATAGTGATAAAGGGTGAGTGATAAAGGCAGAGAGCCTATCTGCCGTCTTGCTAAGTCTGTCTACCTCTACACCAGGACTTCATCACATTCCCCAGCTTACTCCATGGCCACACCTGAATGTCACCATCCCGAGTTTCTCTTTCTGAAATCTTAAATGTTAGTAATTGATGATAATTCTCATCTGCCTAGCTTTTCCACCTCTTAGTTTATTGACTTTTTTCTCCTTTACTTACTTCACAGCCTCCCCCTCTTGACTGCCTTTTCTCCTAAACTATCAGCCCCTTTCAGATGTTCTCCCTTCCTTATCCAGCCTGCCTTGGGGGAACCGAATGATGTGCTCACTACAGTCCCTTCACATCCGTGTTCCCCTTGGCCTTTAGCCTCATCTTTCTGTAAGCCCTCAACATTGAATCCTGTCGTTCACCTTTTCTGGGTGCTGAGTTCCATGCAAAGTACATGCAGCCCTTCAAACTGGAACTACTTTAAGTGTCTCAGCCTCGGCTTCAGAGGAGCCCTCAGTGTGAGCCTTGTGTCTGTGACCAGTGTGGCCCTCTCCCTGTCCCACTGAGGCTGGTCCAAACCACCACGTTTCCTCTGTCCCCTCCCCTAACACATGGCTAGGTCCTGTCTTACAGAAAAAAGACTATTAACCAGCGTTGCCCGACTCATTTCCACCCCTCCTTTTAGAGGAAAAGAGGAGACCAATCTCCACCTGCCTGCCATCTTCCCTGTTTCCCCTGCCGCTCCTCTCTGGGCCTATTCTTGCAGTGTTGGTCTTCACTAGAGCTCAGCATCTTTCTCTTCCCCCTTCTCTCCCCTTTCCTTTCTGTCTTCCTCCTCCTCTTACTGATTCTCCACACTCTTCTTACGTGATGCCCTTCAGAGCCTGGCTTTTGTTGCTCCTGGAATCTCGCCGTCCCATGTGATCACAGGAATCCACTGCTTAACTGTTGCTTTCCTTCTGATGGATGAACTTTGTGTTTTAAGCATTTATCTTTATACCTAATACTTAACACATCTTAGGCCATTGGTAAAGTGCTTTGAATTAATAAGAGGCGTGTGTCTAAGGGCCGAGCTCTGCACAAAAGGGTGGCTGCTAGGATTCCACACTGCCATGCCTGCCACCTACACCAGTGGTGACAAGGCAAATCGCTCCTCAGAGGAGTCAAGTGTTACAGAGTTAGAGCCCGAGAAAACCAGAGAACTTTCTCCTTAAAAGCTGGGAGCTTCCATTTTGCCTTCATAACCTTGTGGACCACGTTATGCTTTTGCAGTTATGAGGTGCTCTAGGGTGCTTTTTACTGAGTCTACCCCACACGCAATTGGAGGATAATTTTCCATTCCCCACACAACTGGAGTTAATAACAGTTAATAACACTTTTTACTCTAGTGTATTACAAAAAATCGCATTTTTGTATGTTAAAGCCTGCTGAGTAAATTCTGTTTCATTTAGAATGAAGTCACTTCAAGATACCAAATATTCCACATTAGGAAAGTATGTAATTTACTCATCAACAGTTTTTATGTGCCTTCCACATGCCATGTTTTGTCTGGCACTGAGGAGATAGAGCTTCGTAAAACACTCTCTTTCAAAGTTTGTATTCCTGTGAAGGAAGTTGACACTTCTTAAGAAATACATGGGTAGCATGTTAGGTGATGAGTGCTGTGAAGAGGAAAGCAGGGTCAGGGGCTGGTGTGACTCGGAGAGGAGTGCTGTTTGTAGGGGGTTGGGAGGGTACCACCAAGCACCTATTTAGCATTTGTGTCTTCAATTTCCACACCTTTGGTTAAATGCCTCGTACATTCAGGACATTTATCAAGCTTTTCTTTCTGACGGAAGTTCTGATACTGCAATAAGAAGGAGGTCACTGCGTGAGACCTTGTCATTTTATTACATCTAGAAGCCCGTTGCACGAAGATACGTGCAATAGGCCTGCCTTCCCCTGGCTGCTGGCCCTGGTTTTCCTCTGGCACCTGGGACCCAGGCCTTCGCCAGCAGAGAAACCAAGCCTCTTCAGTCATCACTCTTCACCTACATGTACAAATTAACCTGCCATATTTGTTGGGTTAATTTGCATACTCACTGCTGATTGGCTGGTGGATATCGCAGAGGTATGGCCAATTTGCATATTTCTCTTTTATTAGTGTAGATAGGTTGCTTTCCAGTGTGGGCTTGACTGATGGGTGAGGGATAACGTGAAGGCCTGGTGCATTTTTTACACTTAGGGTTTTTCCTTTGGGTTTTCTGAGATTTACTAAACTCTGAATAGATTTTTCATAATCCTTATATTTCTGTAGTTCTTTCCCTATATGAATTTTCATATGTCAACTAGGCTTTGAAATTTAAAGGCCTGTCCACCTTGCTGCATTTATAGGGTTTCTGGCTACTGTGAACTGTTCCATGCTGATTAAGGTGCAAATCATGACTAAAGACTTTCCCTTATTCCTTTGTATACCATAGAGTGAGGTGGGAGCCATGGCTAAAACCCGACAATAACATTCCTTATTTTACAATCCACTGTGAATCCTGTGGTGTTTCTTAAAGTGGGAGATGTGTCTGAAGCATCCTCAGATTAATTTTAATGGCATTTTAAAAATGCATAGCTGGTTGACATGTGAGTTTTAGTTTGCTTATCACTTCTCTCTCTACCTTTCAGGGTTCCTTTTTCTGGCTCACATAAGGATACCCCATCTGCCACAGAATCCAGGATTCTGTAGTTCTCTAGTATCACTTGTACTATTACTTTTTGAAGATCTAATTGGCTTTATTAACAGATACATGAACTGGGGAATATTCCATCTAGGAACTATTATAGAAGGGTGCTCCCTTTTTTTGGTATTATTTTTTTTAGCATAATATAAGATATATTATAAAAGTATTACATTAGAATAATTTTAATGTATCTACAATTAAAGTAAGTGTTGTATATTCATGCTGGTGTTCTTTGTTGTTATTGTTTGTTTCCTACTTCTAGTTAAAACTTCCAAGTAAAATGTTTTAGAGCATATGAATTTTTAAGAAAAAATTAAACCATGTTCCCCCATTTGTATCTTGTTCTTTGTTTTCTTCTATATCTGGGTGTTGTATGAAAATGAAACTTGTACCATCTCAGTTTACTATTGAGGTCTGAATATTATTTTTTCAGGTCCTAATAACATTCAAACAGGGATATAAGTTCTGGTGCCAGAGGCCTGAGGTTGAGTCCCAGCCCTGCCATTTCTTAGCTGTGTGACTACATAAATTAGTTGGCCTTTCTATGCCTTAATATCTTATTTAACACCAGAATAATAATAGAACCCCACAGGTTACTGAAGATTAATGCTCAGTGTCTAGCACATGGCAAGGGACAACGGTTAGTTATTACTATTACTGTTTTCCGTCATGTCTAGGTCAGTGTATCAGCATACTCTTCATTGTGCTGAAAACAATGGTGCTCGTCAGCCCAAATAATTGAGTGACAAACACTCTGGCCAGGGAGCAGTCCCTCATAGCCATGTTCCCAGTTTGAATGGTACTAGCCATTCCAAATGGGATGTTGTAAGCAATTACTGGTTGACAGGGAGTTGGCACCAGATTATGTAGAGCTCTATAACTATTACGTCCATTCCTAATGGAATCTGAAAACTATTGCACTATTGCCCAGCTGCTGTGGCTCTGATTGAGCATTGACTTATGAACCAGGTCACGGTTTTATTCCTGTTCAGGACACTTGCCCAGGTTGTGGGCTTGATCCCCAGTGTGAGGTATGCAGGAGTCAGCCAATCGATATTTCTCCCACTCCTCAAATCAATAAAAATGAAAAAATTAATAAAATAAAATAATGGGCTATTTTTGGGAGGAGGCATACTTTTCTTTTTGGATGGTATAAAAGATAATGCCATCTTGCTCTTTTTTGAATAATCCTAAAGATTTGAAATTATATGTTAATGATAACATTAGATTGACATGTTCCTTTAAGAACTTTTGAGCAGTGAATTGGAACAGATTAAGTGATGTAATCTATCTGAAATAGACTGATACATAGTACTGAGTAGTTGTGCCCTTCTTAACATAGAAACTGTATCCAGTTCAGTATAATTATCTTGTAATGTGAGCAATGGTAACTATAAAGCTTTGTTTAAGGTTGCACAAAGGGAGTAAGATGGACACATTTTGAGAGAAGAAAACTAGTGGTATTCCAACCATACCCTATCTGGTTTATTCTAGCCGCATTTTGCTGCCCTTTAATGAGGTACATGCAGCAATTTTTAAAATACACTTATAATTCTATGTTGTTATTGAATCACCTGGTCTCCTCATTTTGGCATATGGCCCTTGGTGATTGGGCTTCTGACCGCCTCTCTAGCATCAATTCATGTTAATCCCTCCAAAAAGCAAATGATAAATTGGGGACTGAAACACAACCAGCCCCAAACCCCACTAGGTCCTAAGAAGGAAGCAATCGGTTAGGAACCCCTAGAGAGTGGACGCGGGCCATCTCTGGAACAAGGAGTCGTCTCACCCCGGGGTAAAGTGGAAGCAGGTTACATCCTGACAGGTAACCCCATTATGGAGGGGGCGAGAGGTTCTGTGGCCAGGGGAGAGGTTAGCAGAGTGCTCTTTGGGACGGTTGAGCGATGTGATCTGTTTGAAACAGACTTACACATAGCGCTGAACAAGTGCTTGTGTCCAGGCTGAGGCTGAGGCTGAGGCCTGGAGTGGGGGGCGGTGACTCTGCAGGAGTTTCCAGCTCCTCTCCACTCGCTTTCCTTCTGGTCCATGCAGGTGAGCAGGCTCCAGGCTGCGGGGTGGGAGAGGGCGTGGCCAGGGCGGGGCTTGATGGACCGGGGCGGGGCTTGATGGATCGGGGGCGGGGCTTGGTGGGCGGGGCGTCGCGTGACCCCGAGTCTCACCCCGAGCGGCGCGGCGGCCATGGCGGGAAGGGAGCCCCGCGGGTGCGGCTCCCCGCCGCCGCCCCACAGCGACTGGGGCCGCCTGGAGGCGGCCATCCTCAGCGGCTGGAGGAGCTTCTGGCAGTCGGTGGGCAAGGACCGCGCGGCGCCCCGCGCCTCCCGCGAGGAGGCAGAGGCGGGGCCCGGCACCCTGGCGCGGCTGCCGGTGAGCGAGGGGCGGCCGCGGGGACCTGGGCTGGGGCCCCCGGGCCGGGCCCCCGGGGCCGGGCCCCCGGGCTGGGACCCCGGGGCTGGGACCCCGGGGCTGGGACCCCGGGCCGGGACCCCGGGCTGGGACCCCGGGGCTGGGACCCCGGGCCGGGACCCCGGGCTGGGACTCCCGGGCTGGGGCCCTCGGGCCGGGACCCCGGGGCTGGGACCCCGGGCTGGGACTCCCGGGCTGGGGCCCCCGGGCCGGGACCCCGGGGCTGGGACCCCGGGCTGGGACTCCCGGGCTGGGGCCCCCGGGCTGGGACTCCCGGGCTGGGGCCCCCGGGCTGGGACTCCCGGGCCGGGACCCCGGGCTGGGACCCCGGGCCGGGACCCTGGGCTGGGGCCCCCGGGCTGGGATCCCCGGGCCGGGAGGGGCGCCCCGTCCGGGCCCCGGGAGGGAGCCGGGACTCCCCGCGGCCCGCTGTCTGCCGGGCCCTGCAGCCCCGGGAGCCTCCGGGGCCCGGCACGCCCCGGGGTGATCGGCTCCGCGGCGGGCGAAGGTCCCGGCCCCGCCCTGGGAGCGCGGTCCCCGCCCGGCGCCCGCGGTGGCCGCGGACAGACAGGCCCGGACCCGGGCGCCCCGGGCGGGGAAGGCGAGGCGGGCGCCGGCCTGGGAGCGCATCCCGCCGCGTCCTCCGCGTCCCGCCCGGTCCGCGCCCCGGACACGTGGGTCCCACGCCCCCTCGGGCAGGCCGCGGCCTCCGTACGCTCCCCGGGGAGGCCAGGCCCGCAGGCCGCAGCATCCCACCGGCGAGTGTGGTCCATTTGTGGGGAGATGGAGACTTTCTTCGGAATTATTAAAATCCCTTCTCCCGTGGGCTGTTGACACCTCCCGCCGAGGTCCATCAGGAATTGAGAATGGCGGGCTCAGAATGGCCCCCCCACCCCCACCCCCGCTACCAACCCCGACCCCCCTGGCGCAGGTCCTTTGAAACAACTTAACAGATTTTTACAGAGGCACTCAGATGACAGGTTGACCCTCGGATGTGACCCAGAGATAAAACCAGAAGTTTGCTTGGGAAAGGTTTATTTTGAAGAATAAATCATTTCCCTGAGTAATATATACCCAAATGGTGTGGCAGAATACCCATGGGAAGAAATGAAAGGAACTGTTATTTTGCTTGGAAGGTGGTTGGTTTCAGGGTATCAGAAATTAAGTGTTCAGTTAGGATTCTCTCCCCTCGGCAGGAAAAGAACTTCAGAATGCTGGCGTCAGGGGGAAATGGTGATGGTCAGTTGATCTGTGGTTATCTATCAATAGTATAACAAGTCTTTGTGGATTTGTAATTTATCCCGATAGATTTCATGAAGATGCTGTTCAGTTGACGTTAGGTTTCCTAGTATGTTGATGATCATTTTTCTCATTTATTATCAGAAAACAGTTCTCCCGAGGTAAGTGACTCCCCCTTTCACCTGCTTGCCGCTTCCCTCTGTTTCAGATTGACGTGCAGCTCTATATTTTGTCATTTCTCTCACCTCACGATCTGTGTCAGTTGGGAAGTACAAGTCACTACTGGAACGAGACTGTTCGAGACCCGATTCTGTGGAGGTATTTTCTGCTGCGGGACCTTCCTTCGTGGTCTTCCGTGGACTGGAAGTCTCTCCCCGACCTGGACATCTTAAAAAAGCCTGTATCTGAAGTCACAGGTGGTGCATTTTTTGACTACATGGCAGTGTAAGTATCTAGTTTTATGAATTAAAGAGAAGATATTACATTTGACTCTATTATAAGTCAATAGTCCCACCACTAATTATTTTCATAGATTATGGGTCTTAGTGTTCTTTTGTGAAAATGGGGGTCAAGTTAAATGACTTCCTTCATTTTGTTATTTCCCTGTGATGCCTGACCAGAGTATTTGGGTAAATATACATAGTTCATCTTTAAATTTCCGTTATCTTTAGAACATTTGTCATTTTGTTCAATAGTAAATACTTTCCCTATCCAGATAGGAGGAATGGCCAGAGATCAGAGCAGTTCTTTGGCAAGGAGAAAATCATTCTCCTTTTGGGCAAAACAATTTTCTTACTAACCCAAAGCATTGACATTTTGGAATATAATGTAGATGAGAGAATTAATGTTATTGAGCAGCTGGTCCCACAGCCAACCTAGCATCAAGTGTATCTGATGTTGTAAGACCAAACCTTCCCTAGGGATAGTAATAATCATAGTAACTATCTTTTGTGAGCAAATAAAATGATTTCTGATTCTTACAACCCCAGGTTGATTGTTGTTGTTCAAGTACCGCAGTTGGAAAATTTGAAGTTCAGTCTATAAATGGTTTATATAACCAATTAAAGTAGTAAGGCTTGGCCTGACCTGGCTAGCTTCAAATTTGATTTTTTTTCCTTCTTGAATTATAGGTTCCTAAACAAACATGATGATCTTATTAGCTTAGTAATTGTCTCAATCAGCTTGATTTAGTTAAAGGGTTCTAGGTTTTATTTTGATTGGGTAACTTCATTTTCATTTTCAATAACATGTGGGATTGCTAGGATAGACATTTATAGCTATTAAAAGACACTGAGTTGTTTTTATTTTTATGTGATTCTTAGTTTGTTAGGTTATCTGTAAGGAATATTTGAGCCTCCCTTTATATTTAACACTTACTGAACTGTTACATTTGCCACTGTTAATAAGAGTACGTAAGAAACTTGGTTATATATATATATTCTTTTTTTGGGGGGGGTATATATTTTTTAATCTATAGGAACATTTATGCTGACTGTCTTCAGTGCAGTGTTTCTCAATCTTGGTACTGTTGACATTCTGGGAACTGTGGATATTTTGAGGCACTTCTGGCTTTCACCCACTAGATGTCAGTAGAACCACCTCACTAACCCCCTGCAGTGATAACAGAAATGTCTCCAGATGTTGCCAAATGTTCCTTGGAGCTGGGGGGATGCCGGGAGGAAGGGGGGAGGGAGTAGCAAAATCTCTCCCAGTTGATAATTTCTCTATGTGGTGAATTTTAACCATTGAAACAAGTGTTAGACCAAATGTTCCATGAGAGAATCTAAATGAAAATAAGTAATGATTCCTGCGGAAGATTTTCCGTTTTTGGACCACTAGTGCTCCCATAGGACCTCATGCTTTGTCCTGTCAGGGCACTTGGCATACATGTTATAATGGTATCTGTCCCCACTGCCTCCATGAGAATGGGAGCTATATAGTAGTCATTGTATCCTTGTATCTAGCCAATTCTCAATAAATTATACATTGTTGGGTGAATAACTGGCTATGTTTTTTGTGTTTTTTTTTTCTGTATTAATTTTCTAATCCTGACAATTTCATACAGCTACAAAATGTGCTGTCCGTATACAAGAAGATCCTCGAAAGCTTGCCGTCCTATGTATGGAGCAGTGACCTCATTTTTCCACTCATTGATTATTCAGAATGAACCCCGATTTGCTATGTTTGGACCAGGTTTGGAAGAACTGAATACATCTTTGGTGTTGAGCTTGATGTCTTCTGAGGAACTTTGCCCAACAGCTGGTTTGCCTCAGAGGCAAATTGATGGTAATCTTCCCGTTAATCTGCAGTACCTGATAAGTTAACGCTTTGAGTTTGACGCTAATGTGAATTAGAAAGAAAGTCACTTTTTTTTTTTTTTACTTATTTATTTTTATTTATTTTAATGCTGTTAACATTTTTATTTATTTTAGAGAGAGAGGAAAGGAGAGATGAGTTGTTCCACTCATTTATGCATTCACTGGTTGTTTCTTGTATGTGCCCTGACCCAGGATCAAACACACAACCTTGGTGTATCTGCGAGGTCTCAGCTGGGGGCTGGATAGGAGCTGGGGATCCACTCCCTGAAGCAGCTGTCACAGGATGATAACTGGCTCCTCTCCTCTCCTGTCACAGGATGATAACTGGCTTCTCCACAGGCTGCTTTAGCTTCTGAACAACATGGCAGCTGGATTCCACGAGACAGGAAGAAGCTACCAGTTTTTCTTCCTTCCTTTCTTTCTTTCTTTCTTTCTTTCTTTCTTTCTTATTTTAAAAAAAAAAATATATTTTATTGATTTTTTACAGAGAGGAAGAGAGAGGGATAAAGAGTTAGAAACATCGATGAGAATCATCGATCAGCTGCCTCTTGCACACCCTCTACTGGGGATGTGCCCGCAACCAAGGCACATCAGAAATTCACTTTTTAATTAACTATTTGATGTGATGAAATATAGCAGTGATTTTTATCTGGTGTGATGTGAGAGTCACACTGGTGTATCCCAAGAATTTTTAAAACATGCAATATCTGACTCTGTAGTCTGGGACTACACAGACCTCTTTTCCCTTAAAATGTTAAATAAAATAATGACAATAGCCAACATAATAATAGCCTCCTGGTGTGAATGAATCAAAATTATACCTATTTTTTGGTCAGATCAGCAAAAAATATATTTTTGGTTGCTACAGAATTTTAATAATTACTTTATATGTACCATGACATAAAAGAGGTTGAAAATCACTGAAATATAGTAATTTGGTTAAAGAAAGCCCCCCAGGTGCCAATAGACTGAAATAATGCACTTTTTAAAAGAGGTAAGCTTCCTCTTATTTCCTGAAGTTTATGCAATCCAGAATATAAGATTATGTGAAAGTAAATTAAGTAGCCAAGGTGTTATATTTATACAATATTTACTATATTTTAAAAGAATATTAACAGCAAAAACCATTTGGCTTCTATCTGCTATGTGCAAAATACCTTCACATACTGTATATTGAAATTTCAAAAATGCTTAATTTTAACCTTCTTGAAAAAGGAAACAAAAACAAATAGACTTAGTTGGTAAACAGAATATATAATAAATATCAATGACAATATAATCTAGCTTTACTTATTCATTTATTGAGAGCATCTATTAGATGCTAAAGATGCAGAGATTTAAAACCATATCAAAAATCTTTGTCCTGAAGATACTTGGTCTAGGACGGACAAAGACAAATGCACTGGTGATTTGAATATGATGCAATTAGTTCCTGGGTAGAAAATTTAGGGTCAAAGAAGGCACCGCATTGAATAAGAATGCCTCACATGGTCATTAAGATGAGTAGGAGTAGCAATCAAAAAAAGACAGGGTAAAAATATTCTAAGCAATTAGAACTACATTTCTAAAAGCACAACATCCTAGGTGTGTATGGCACATTTTAAGTAGCTCTGTGTGTGTACGTGTACAGGTGAGAAGCTACTTGTGTGCCATGCTTAAGCATTTGGAAGCTCTTGAAGAATTTTAAGCAGAGGAGTGAGATGGTCGAGATTGCATTTAGGAAGCTCAATCTGCCTCCTAAATGGAAAATTGATTAGGAGGGGTTATAAAGACATGGAGATGCATTAAGAAACCATTAATCCTATATAATAAAAGGCTAATATGTAAATTGTACCCTGGACCAGTTTAACTGGGAGTTCTACCAGGGGGTGAGGCCTGCTGACCAAATGCCCATGGCCCCTCCCCCTGGCCAGCCTGGCCCAATTGGCCCTGACCAGGTTGGGCTGGCCAGATCCCATCCATGTACAAATTTGTGCACTGGGCCTCGAGTATTGTGATAAAGGTATGAAGGATATATTGTAGAATTGACTGAATGTGTAGAGATAGATGCCTGCTATACCAGTAAGTAATCCATTTGTAGCTCCATTAGTGCAGGAATCTTGTCAGCTTTTTTTAGCTTGATCTGAGTTATCAGGCACGTAGCAGGCACTCAATATACGTTTGATGCATGAATGAACAAGTGACTTTGTGGATTACTTTATGTATCCAGATCTCAAGAGCAAATTCTGGGCTAGAAATCAAGATTTGACAATCATGGAGTCCATGTGGACTTTGAAGTTTCTGAGGATGGAGAGGAAGATTGTGAACCAGGTGCTGGCATCTTCAATGAATGTTTGGAGGAAGGGATTATCAAAAGGAAGTTTATAAATTACAAGGTCAAGGAAGGAGAGATGGGACTATAGCTGAATGCTGTATGTGTCTCAAAGAGATGGAGTTTTTCAAGAGGGTTGGTGAGTAATGGTTAAGACACAGCATTGGGGAGTAAAGAGAACATTGATCCTACCTCTTTACCCTGAGATGTGAGAGAATAAGCAACCTTGTTACATGAGAGTCCACAGGGAGAGAAGCGGCACCTAGGGGCAGGCTTATTTCAGGTAAAGCCATGAGGTAGCAGGGACAGCTCAAGAAGAGGTTGGGAATATGGGGAAATTTGTTGATTATGAAATGGCAATTTCATTCTCAAGGCAGTAGCTGGAGTGATTGTTTGAAAATTCCAATTTAATTATGCCTCAAACTTTGAAAGATCAGGGAAGACTAGAAGGAGGTGTTGTTGGCAAGGTGGTGCGTTCAGAACAGACTGGAGATCATATTGGGCTGAGGCTAGATGTATTGAGAGGGAAATCTCAAAGTTTCTGATGAACACGAAGATCATGGTGGCATTCACTTCTGTGATTTCTGAGGTGGGAGGTTGTGCACCAGGCCTAGTGGCATGAGGACTCGGGTCATTTGGCTTGGGATGCTTGCAGTGCCAGCACCAAGATCTCTGTATATATGGTGATATCAGAGGGTGTGGCAACGTTCAGCTTATTTGGACAACTATATTGGTTATAATACAGGGATAGTAGAGACCAGATTATATTGTTTTCTTTGTCTGAAGGGAGTGGCTTTGAAGGGAAGAGATATAATTATTTAGGCATTTTTTATTTTTTAGAGGGAAAAGAAGGGAGAAGGCGAAAGATAGAAACATTGATGATAGAGACACATTGATTAGCTGCCTCCTGCATGTCCCCTGCATGGGATAGAGCCCATAACCCCAATATGTCCCCTGACCAGGAATTAAACCCTGACCTCCTGGTTCATAGGTCAACACTCAACCACTGTGTCGTACTAGCTAGATACTAGGCATTTTTAAGTAATCTCTCCACATGCTGTTGGAAGATTAATAGTAGAGGGCAAAAGTGGATGTCAGACACTGTTTAGAAGTGATTGCAGAAGTCCAAGTGATAGTTGATGGCAACTTAATGCCTTTTTTAAGAAGCAAGAGGGGAAATGAGCCCCTGTGTGTAACGCCAAAAGAAGGAAGAGGTTTAGAAAGAAGGACAAATAAAGCTGGATGATTCAGACATAAAGTTGAAAGAAGCTAGTACTGTTTAGCACCTGTTACCACGGTAAGCGCCCAGTCAGTCACTGGTGACTGACACTATACTTTCCATCCAGAAGACAAAACAGGCTGGGCGCTTAATGTGCTATTTATCAGTCAATCTAATAGTTTTACATATGTAGTCTTGTTTAATGCTTACAATAATCCTAAAAGGTATCATTTCTATACTTCCATAACAAAACTGAGGCTCACAAAAACATGGCTATATATTAACAAAGTCAAGATTCTAAATCAAGTCTAATTCCAAGTGTTAGTGTCTGCCATATATTTTCAATTTTCTAAATTCCCATTGGTGACTCTTCATCAATTTAAAAACAGCTTTTTGTGGAGAGGGTGGAGCCATTTCATTGAATGTTCTAGTATACATGGAGTGTAAGACAAATGAGAAACATAAAAATGTGAAAATGAGTCTTAGTCTTGAGGATAAGTAGTAGTAGCTGTTATGATGCAACTGGTGCTGATATGATGATAAAGTTAATGAAGATAGTGATGATATGAAAAGGAATGCTATAAACCTAGCAGTTCACTTTAAAAAAATATATATTGATTTCAGAAAGGAAGGAAGAGGGAGAGAGAGATAGAAACATCAATGATGAGAGAGAATCATGGATTGGCTTGCCTCCTGCACACTCCCTACTGGGGATCAAAGCTGCAACCCAGGCCTGTGCCCTGACCAGGAACTGAACCGGGACCTCCTGGTTCATGGATTGACGCTCAACCACTGAGGCATGCCAGCCCAGCGAGCCTAGCAATTCTTTGTCTATGTTTTTATTCCTAAGTAAATGGAAATTGCAAGCAGCATCTTTTTCAACATGAACATTCCATTTTAATTCAAGGCTATATATAAGTTGTAGAATTTTTAAAATTCTGGATAATGTTTTTCAATTTGATCATTTGCTGTCTTTATTAATGACTTTTTTTTTTTTATAACTAATTTTTCCCTTTAGGTATTGGATCAGGGGTCAATTTTCAGTTGAGCAACCAACATAAGTTCAACATCCTGATATTATATTCAACTACCAGGTAAGGCTTCCTGCTTGGTGACTTAAGGACTGGAATATTTTAAGGGGATACAGCCTGTTTAGTGTCTGATTATATTTTATGTTTACATATTTTCTTACAGAAAGGAAAGAGATAGAGCAAGAGAAGAGCAAACAAGTGCAGTTAACAAGATGTTCAGTTTACAGAATGAAGGGGATGATCAACAAGGAAGCCGGTACAGTGTCATTCCACAAATTCAGAAGGTGTGTGAAGTTGTTGATGGGTTCATCTATGTTGCAAATGCTGAAGCTCAGAAAAGTAAGCATTATCGTATATTAAAAGCACTTGCTTTTCGAAGCAAATAAATGATATTTTTTAGGCTTTACTGTGGCTTCTTAAGAATATGATGGTTAATTTTATCTATGTGAGCCTATGACCATTATTTAACAGTGGGTTCTCAGACCTTGATGTGTATTAGGATCCCTTGGGGAGCGTGTTAAAAACAACTGCCTGGTTCCTACCATGGTAATTATGATTCATAGATTTGGATTGTGTCTTGGGATCTGTTTTTGTTGTTTGCTTGTTTTTAACAAGCACTTACAGAATTTTTATGCATACCAAAATTTAAAACTATAGTTATATGGTACTATTTATTGTATGCTTCTGCATTTTTTGTTACTGCTGTGTTTGTTTGTTTGTTTTTGGCCCTATTCAAATAATTTATGTAGATAACTGAAAGTTTTTGCTTTTGTTTTTAATTACCCAGATATAGAGATGTGTGATATGGAATGTTTACTTTAAGTAGATTAGTTGAGAACATTGTATATTCTGAATAATTGCCATTCATGATGATATATAGGTATGAAATAATAATATTTTTGGGCCAAAATCAGTGTTGCAATTTTCCCCTCAAACCCCTGTGAATAAGGAAGGATATAAGTAATATAATGTATTGTTTTCACTCAGAACACAGTATCAGCAGCCCATTTCTTAAAGAATTTAAAGTTTATGATGCACTAAAGTTAACAATAAAAATAAAAGCCAAGTCCATCTTAACTACTAACTAGTTGGACTTGACCTACTGCATTAATGACTTGCCAGAGGAATTATGTCTATTTCCAGGAGTAAATCCTCTTTATCACAGTCTCTGTAGTCTCTACTGGCTCTATATAAAACATCTAGCATTAAATTAAAATTTTATAAGTCACACACAAAAAATAAAAATCAAATGACCCGTTATCAAGAAATAAAGTAATCAGTGGAACCAGACTCACAGATTGCCTGGATGTTGTCACTCTCAGAAAGGGACATGATTAATATGTTAAAGGATTTAGTGGAAAAGGTAAACAATATATGTGAACAGACAGGGATTTTCAGCAGAGAATAAGAAGTCAAATGACCCGTTATCAAGAAATAAAGTAATCAGTGGAACCAGACTCACAGATTGCCTGGATGTTGTCACTCTCAGAAAGGGACATGATTAATATGTTAAAGTAGGGGTGTCGAACTCAATCAGAGAAGGGGCCAAAATCTAAAATCCAGCCTAAATCGCGGGCCGAATGGTTTACTGAACAGTCATAAACTGTCATTGTGATGGAAACGCAGCGGAGTGCAGTGATGACAGCGCGGTGCGGGCCACATTGCAAGGCCTGGCGGGACGGATTTGGCCCGCGGGCCTTGTGTTTGACACATGTGTGTTAAAGGATTTAGTGGAAAAGGTAAACAATATATGTGAACAGACAGGGATTTTCAGCAGAGAATAAGAAGCTATTAAATGAGTAAAATGGGAATGCTAAATATAGAAACCATGATAACAGGTAAATAGTTTCTTCAGCTGACTTTTCTGGCAAACGAAACCTTCAGAAAACTGAAAGATAGCTCAGTTGAAATTATTGAAATTAAAACACAAAGAGGAAAAAGAGAAGGAGTGGGGAACAGAGCATCCAAGAACTGGGGGAACCTATCAAAGGAGAGTTAACTTTTCTGTCCTAAAAAGCCAGATAAAAATATTCTAGTTACATGAGCCATATGGTCTCTCATAGTTACTCAACACTACTGTTACAGTGCAAAGGTAGCCATAGACAATTTGTAAATTAATGTACGTGGCTGTTTTCCAAAATAATTGTATTTATAAAGACAGATCCACAGGAATGTAATATGCCAATCCCTGGTCTAACATATATGTGTGTAATTGGAGTACGAAAACATGAAGGGAGTAAGGACAGGAACAAAGAAGATTTTGAACAGATAATGGCCTATATTTCAACATTACTGAAAGACTACAAGCCACAGATCCAAGATTCCCAGAGAACTGTAAACCTAATAAATGAAAAATACATCTAGAGATATCATAGCTAAATTGATAAAAACCAGAATATCTTGAAGGCAGCCAGAGCAGAAGGAAAGATACTTACAAAGGGCAAAGACTCCCTGACAGAATTGCTGCAAGCTAGAATCTGTACAGCAAGCATGTCAAACTCGTGGCCCAGGGCCGCATGCCTCATTTATTTAGCCTGTGTTAGCCTTTGAGTTTGACATGCTTGCTATAGAATATTGCAAAGGGGAGGAAACCTTATGTCCATCAAAGAAATGTTTTAAAAATGAAGGCAAGATCAAGGCTTTTCAGACAAATAAAATCTGTGAAAATTTATTATTAACAAGATTTGCATTAGAAGAACTATTAAAGAACTCTCTTTAGGCAAAAGAATATACCAGATAGAAAATTGCATCTACAAAAAGAAATAAAAAACCCTAGGATGAAAACAATAAAACTATATATAAATTTTTTTTTTCTAATTTTAAATTCCTAATAATTATGTAAAGGAAAATAGTAACAATGTATTGTGGGTATATGATATTTTTAAGTAAAATATATACTAACAGTACAACAGCATTAAAGGGAGGAAACGGAAATATACTATTGTAATATTCTTCTATAAGTGAAATTGTATAATACTATTTAAAGGTAGACAGTTATAAGTTAAGAATTACATTATAGCTGGGACCGGTTTGGCTCAGTGGATAGAGTGTTGGCCTGCGGACTGAAAGGTCCCGGGTTCGATTCCGGTCAAGGGCATGTACCTTGGTTGCAGGCACATCCCCAGTAGGGGGTGTGCAAGAGGCAGCTGATCGATGATTCTCTCTCATCGATGTTTCTAACTCTCTGTCCCTCTCAATTCCTCTCTGTGTAAAATCAATAAAATATATATATAAAAAAAAAGAATTACATTGTAAATCTTTGAGCAACCTTTAAAAAAAGTGTAACGGAGGTATCCTATCTAATAAAGAGGGCCTATGCTAATTGACTGCCCCACCCTCAAAGATGGTGGAACCCACAGCCAATAAGGAGGGAATATGCTAATTGACTACCATGCCCTCAAAGATGGTGGCACCCACAGCCACAAGATGGCAGCCTCTCAGTCCCATGAGCTCTGGCCCCCCCTTCTCGCGCTCCTGCTTCCGGAGTCCCTCAGTCCCCTCAGCCCCTCAGTCGCCCAGGGCCAGCCCAACGTGCAGGCAAGCCTCAGATGGCAGCTACCAAGCTGCCCAGAGCCCGCCTGAGGCTCAGGTAACCAAGGCTGGCCGAGGCTTGTGCTGCTGGCAGTGGCTGCAGCAGCAGTGGTATGATGGGGCGTCACCTTTCCCTGATCTCGGGTCGCCTCCTACCCCTGAGAGCTCCCAGACTGTGAGAGGGGGCAGGCCGAGCTGAGGGACCTCCTTCCTCCAGTGCATGAATTTTCATGCACCGGGCCTCTAGTAATTAGATAAGCCAGTAGTGAAGATAAAATGGAATCATTAAAAAAATTCAATTCAAAAGAAAGAACAAGAAAGACAAAGGAACAAAGAACAGGTGGAACAAGTCAAAATCCAAGAAGTATATGATAGATTTAAATGCCCATGTTCATAAATTCATTACATGTTTGTTTTCTATAGGGAATATATCAAATCACCTTCAACCTAGTGGTTTAAAAGAACACCTGTTTACAGCTCATGGTTAGAAGAATCTCATCTCTTTTAAGTACTCACCTGCTTAGATCAGGCTCACTGAGGACAGTGTCCCTAATAGAACAGTACAGCCCAATAATGACAGTGACATCCCATTATATTTGCAGGTTCCTCCCACTCAAAGGGGGAGAATTTATACACGGATGCAAGTCATTGCGGATCGCTTTAGAATTCTGCCTACCACCAAATGTCAGTGACTTATTGACTCCAGTGAAAGGCAGAGACTGTTAGTTTGCATAAAAAAGCTAGACCCAATTATATGTTTAAATTTCTGAAATTAAAGACTTTGAAAGAAAGGGTAGTGATAGTTATAGAATTTGTGAGAGGAAAATATCTATAGCAAGGTATTTTTCTTTTAAACTATAGAGACTTTTGAATAGTACTATGATGCCCCTCCCTTCTGATTTCACCTAAATGCGTATCCTTGAAAGGCTACCTAATGTAACTTTATGACATATTAATAAATGAACAAAGCAATAGAGGGAGTTTGTTATGTTTGGGTTCTGGTAATTTTTTTTTTATTTCCTTGTTCTGTTAATTTTTAATCTAATTTAATTATTTTAGAAACTGTTGTAAATAATGCAAATTAAGAGTTTGACTTCATTCCTTAGGACATGAATGGCAAGATGAATTTTCTCGTATCATGGCAATGACAGACCCGGCCTTTGGATCTTCAGGAAGACCAATGCTGGTTTTATCTTGTATTTCTCAGGCAAATGTGAAAAGAATGCCCTGTTTTTATGTGGCGCATGAGCTGGGTCTGAATCATCTAAACCACCCATGGATGGTAAGGTCCTATCTTCTCTGGTGAGAAACATACTATTTTATTTTTCAGTTTTTTATTTGATTTTACTCTTTCCTATTCATTCTCTTTAATGAAATAGAACAGTATTCCAAAGTTAGTTTTAATAGCTTAACTGATGTGAGATTTTTTTGGTTGGTGTCAGTAGTCTCAGCTGATCATTTGTTCCTACTTGTCTCCTGTCATGGATACAATGAATAGTAATTGGGGATTTATTTATTTATTTATTTATTTATTTATTTATTTTAGATTCCACTATCTTGGTGTGTTTTTTTGTTTGTTTGTTTTCAGCATTATGCTTTAAGGACCATCAGAAGTATAGATGCCATCTTAGAGTTTCTAGCTCTCCAAAATTTATTTTAATCATGGAATCTTTTCATCAAATGAAACCTTACATGAAAGTCCCTAAGTCAAGCTGGACGCAAGTTTGACATGCTTGCCCTAAGTAAAATAAAGGAAAATTAATATTGGAAATGCTTTTGCTGAAGAATTTAGCAAAATTTCTCCCCCTGTCCCTTCCAAGGAGCTCTGGAAACTGGAACACAATTTAAAAGCTACTAACAAAGGTGTACTTTCTAAGTGGAGCTTTGACTTACTACTAGGAGCAGTGGCAGTCTTAAAGACATGTTTTTGCAACAAGACGTCACATTTGTCAGTTGACAAGCTGGGTTCATTCAAAAATGTTTTTGTTTACAAAGTGGGTCTTTTGGGAGAATTATTTTTCTAATACATACTAACAAGTCAAGGAAATGGTAGATCTTTCTATCCCCAATTTACCAATAAGCCTGATACTGGTAAATTAAAAGATATGAGATCATATTCTTATCTAACCTGTCTAGAAGACAATACTTAAATGATTCATCCAAAGTTTATTGGGATCTGTTTAGTCCTTTTTTTGGTGTCTATAAAAATGTCCGTCATCATCATAAGATGTTGGACTCAGTGTCTTTCTTTTTTTAAATATATTTTATTGATTTTCTACAGAGAGGAGGAGAGAGGGATAGAGAGCTAGAAACATCGACCAACTGCCCCTACCAGGGATGCGCCCGCAACCAATGTACATGCCCTTAACCGGAATCGAACCTGGGACCTTTCAGTCCGCAGACCGACGCTCTACCACTGAGCCAAACCGGTTTTGGCTGGACTCAGTTTCTTACTGATTATGGTCTCTCTTGTTTGCTCCTAGGTGCAGGACACAGAGGCTGAAACTCTGACGGGGTTTTTGAATGGCATTCATTGGATTCTTGAAGAAGTCGAATCTAAGCATGCGAGATGATCCTTGTTTTAGACCTTGGGAACTGAAACCATTTGAAACTTGTTGCTGAGGTCATGGTGTGAATATTTGCTCTGTCAGCTCATTTTGTCCTGCCTTTGTGCAGATGGGCTTTATATTGGACAGCTGAAGCTGTCGTATTTTTAATATAATTTTTGCTTTTTACCTTAAATCAATTATAAGAAAAAGTTAATTATAAGTGCAAGCATTTAGCCCCAAAATAAACCTTGTAAAAATTTTTTTTTGATAATTTTTATACTTTCTGTCTTCTTAAAAATATTAAATTCTGGAAAAAAACAAGTTTGTGCATTTCTCATTCCTTGTGGATTCTGGTCTTTTCGGTTTCCCTAGTGCGGAAAAACGTATTTGGTAAGCTTTCTATAAGCTTTGTGTAGATCCTTTTCAAAGGTTCTTAATGGATTATCAAAAAGTGAGCTTTTGTCTATTTTTAATGAATATACTGCCTAAAGACTGGACTACTCTAGAATTGCATTTAATATTATAGCTATACAACTTGCATTTTCTGAAACAGTGGAAATTAACTCTATATCATGTTTAATATTAATTTAGTGAAAATAACTTTTCCTGAAAGTTCTTGTTATTTTCAAATAACTGAAAGCTCAGTTCATCTCTAGATGTAATGCCAGAAGGGCTCCGAAACATAAGTGCTGGACAAATCAATGAGACATTTTTCTGCTTTTCAGGTCTGTCCTGTCTTTTACCAAAATTCCTCTGGGGAAGAATTTTATTTCACATCTGGAGTTCTATTTACAATCCATTATACCAGTTATATTGTCATTAAAAGCTTCCAAGTATTTTTCTCATCCCACCAAAATCTGTCTTCCTATGCCAGGCCTGTTCTTCTACCCACAGATTCCCAGGATAGGTGATTGGTCTCATAAAAACAATATAGTTCTTAAATAGTTTCTCATTGGAATTTGGTTTAGTTAGACTTTGTATCTACTGGTCTTTGATGGCCTAAAGCAAGCATGTCAAACTCAAAGGCTGAGGCCAAAAAAATGAGGCATGCGGCCCACGGACCGCGAGTTTGACATGCTTGGCCTAGAGTATAACCATTGTATCTTGTGTTTTCCTGTTACAGTAAATGGCCAGTAAGGCCCAGTGGCCCAGCCTTTCTGATCACCTGTGCTGGGTGCTTCAGGTGCACCCGCAAGGTGGATTGTGTGCACCCTCTTGTAATGGATCCTCCATTGCTGTCAATGGAAGGGAATAATTTTTTTTATAACTTTCTATCATATGTTCTATCTGAGAGTAAAACAGTAGTTTTTACAGTGTCTTTAACACAGAATATCCTAGATCACAAGGTTTATTAAAACATTTGCAGCCCTAACCGGTTTGGCTCAGTGGCTAGAGCATCAGCCTGCAGACTCAAGGGTCCCAGGTTCAATTCCAGTCAAGGGCATGTACCTTGGTTACAGGCACATACCCAGTAGGGGGTGTGCAGGAGGCGGCTGATCGATATTTCTTTCTCATTGATGTTTCTGACTATCCTGCTCCCTTCCTCTCTGTAAAAAATCAATAAAATTAAAAAAAAACAAACACATTTGCAGCATTATGTCTATACACAGTAGTTGACTCATTTATTTATTGATCACTATATATTGATTTCCCCCCATGATTTTCATTATTATTTCATTCTTACTATATATTGTGATGACTTTATACTGCATTTTTTAAAATATAGATTATGTGTGCCTTCATATTCTTTGACCCTTGTAAAAAGTCCTAAAAAATTTGTGTAACATATCCTTGCTACAGTCTCAACAGATTCAATTTTCTATAGTTCAGATCTTCTGTGGTTTTCTTTCCTGAACTTCTGTATAAGAAATTCATAGCTGAGACATTAAGTGCATGGACCCTAAAACCAGATTGGTCTGGGTTCAAATCCTAACTTTGAACTGTGTGATCTTGGGCATTTTTATGGTTCCTATTTTATTTATTTTTTTTATTAAAGTTCTCACTGAGTTCATTGAGCATCCTTATAACCAGTGTTTTGAACTCTGCATCTGGTAATTGTCTCCATTTTGTGTTTTTTCTTTTTCTGGAGTTTTGTTCTGTTCTTTTATTTGGGACATGTTTCTTTTTCTCCTCGTTTCCGCGACCTCCTTGTGTTTGTTTCTGTGAATCAGGTAGGGCTGCTGCGTCTCCCAGTCTTGGTACAGTGGCTTTATGTACAATAGTAAATGGCCAGTAAGGCCCAGTGGCCCAGCCTCCCTGATCACCTGAGCTGGGTGCTTCAGGTGCACCCACAAGGTGGTTTGTGTGCACCCTCTTGTAGTGGAGCCTCCATTGCTGTCAGTGGAAGGGAATTTGCCCCCAGGCCAATTGGCTGTGAGGATGGGCAGTGATTATAGCAGAGGATCAGCTGTGCAGGGGCCAACACCACACACTTGCACTAAGATGGTGCTTCAGTGCAGTCTGAAACTGTCCACCAGGTATGCTGGCTCTGGGACCTCCCAGGGGATGCAAGCCAAGGTCAGCTGCCACCTGTCCCCTGCCAGGGGTCCCCCAAATTTGAGCTACAGTGATCTGCAGATGGCTATACTTTTGCTGGGTTTGGAGGTGTCCACAAGAGACCAAGCTGTGAATCAAAGCTGGGCCTGGGGCCACTTAGCAAGAGGTATGGGGCATGCCAAGGCCAGAGGCTGCTGCTCTGTGGTTTGTGAACTTTGAGAGATTTTAGGAAGGTCTGTAGCAAGAGTCAAGACAGGCTGTTTGTATGGAAAAGCCACAGGTAATGGCTTGGGTGGGGCCAGGTGATTTTTAATCACCACGTGTGTGGGGCCAGTTGGTTCTGAGTTTCCGTTCCTCTGACCAATCTCTGTGGCTTCTTTAATTTCCTGGTTCTAGGACTTCTCTTCAGCTAGAATTCAGGTGGTTCTGAATGATGGTTGTTTTGTAGCTTAGTTGTAATTTTGATGTGGTTGTGGGAGGAGGCCGAATATTGCATTTACCTACACTGCCATCTTGACAGGGACCCTTTTTATTCTATTTTGTTTAGGTTTATTGTGCCTTTTCTAATTTCCTTTGTTGGGAATTTAATTGTTGTTGTTCTTCCATTTTATTAAAAATGAAAGTATTTCAGCTGTGAATTTTCTTCTGACCACTGCTTTTATTGTATTCCACAGATTCTTTAATATAGTGTGTTTATTAGCATATTTCTTTAGACATTCTAAAGTTTTCATTCTTTTCCAAAGGATTGTTTCAAAGAAAGTTTTACATTAAAAAAAAAATATATATATATATTATTGATATTTTACAGAAAGGAAGGTAGAGGGACAGAGAGCTAGAAACATCAAGAGAGAAACATTGATCAGCTGCCTCCTGCACACTCTCACTGGGGATGTACCCGCAATCAAGGTCCACAGGCCAACACTGTATCCACTGAGCCAAATCGGTTAGGGCTACATCTTCCTGTTTTATGTTCATTTTTATTTTAAACTTTGAATTTATTCTTTGAGATTTTTTTTCACACCTGCAAATGCTTGTTTAAGCATATTTAATTTAGATTGGCATATTTTGTTACAGTTTTTCTCTGCTTTGTGGTAGTTTGGGGGGGAATAATTTTCATCTGAAATATTTTGTTTTTCACTTTCTGGTTTTTGCTATAATACCTTTAGTATGAATGTTGTATTTTGTTTTCTGTTAATTGTGGAATATATTTTCCTAGGCCAGCAATAACAGCTATATACAATATGTAGAAAAAGATTGATAGCATATTAGCTTTCTTGGCTCCTGAGTGCCCTCTTCTGTTGGAATAGTAAAGTGCAGGTTTTTCAACCAGTGTTTACATTCTTTGGGGTCACACACAGGAGGATAACAATGTCTTATTGAGGTTTCAATGTAGAACCTCCTACCACTTATTTTCTTCTTTCCCCTCACCCCCCAAATCCATGGCAACCCTTCCTCAAAGTCATTCCCTTCCAAGTCTTTCCCATTCTTCCAGAGCAGGGGTACACCCCCAAACGATCGCCTGCACTTTCAGGGCTCCCCCTGTCAGTTCCCCACAGGCAGCACTCTGAATATCCAGATAGGAGATTTATTCTCAACATCTCTGCCCTTAGGTGGGACTCCATCTTTGGGAAAATGACCCTATTTGTATTCCACATCTCAAGTGTCCGCTGGCTGTTCTATGGGGCCTCCAGAGGGGGCTCTGCTGGTTTCTGAGTGTTACTTTCCCAGTTACATGGAAACAGAAGCATTATCCTGTGTTAGTCATGTTGTACTAAACTTTGGTGGTGGCTATTGGGGGAAAATAACCATATATGCAAGCAGGGATTATTAGTGGTTTTATTTCAGTTTCGCTGATCTGTTTAGAATTCAGAAGACATGGAGATTCTAATTTAGGTGGCCCCATTATTCTGTGGGAGTCCAAAATCAGATATTTTATTATTTATTTACTTATAAATATATTTTTATTAATTTCAGAGAGGAAGGGGGAGGGAGAGAGAAACATCCATGATAAGAAAGAATCATTGATTGGCTGCCACCTGCATGGCCACCTACTGGGAATTGAGCCCACAACCCAGGTATGTGCCTTTGACCAGAATCAAACCCTGGACCTTTCTGTCTGCAGCTGACATTTTATCCATTGAGCCAAACCAGCTAGGGCAGATAATTTTATTTTGGAAAAAAAAGTAATTGTTAAAACAAATCTTTCTTTTTTGGAGCTGCATTTTCTTTTCCTTTTAATTTCTACATATCCATCCTATTTGTGCCTTCTGAGACAACAGGGAACAAATAAAATTTCTCATTTATGCTCTAACAAAAGTTGTTTCCCAGCACATAGAGCCTTCCTTTCTCTGGAGTAGCCATTTATCCACCCTTCATCCATTACTCAGGTGGTGGAGCTCCAAGTCACCCCTCCCTCCCTCTGATCCCTCTTTATTGAAGGTGCCAACTAAGCAGGGTCATAGTATTCTATACTGGAGTGATTTTGTTACCATTGGCAGAAACCAGCAATAGCAATTCCAAAGTTTACAAAGATTACTTTCCTGTCTCCAAATGCAATGACTTATGTAAACAAATGAAAGAAAATTGAAAATGGGAACAGAACATGTTTTTGTATTTTGCTTTCAACAAAGAAATCATCAGTTGGCTTATTCACAAACATAGCAAGTATTGTTCTGACTGGAACAGTCACAACAATAATGCACCTAAATGTCTCTAACCAAGTTTCTAGCAAATAAAAAGTAGAATGGCCTGAATAAATATGCTTACTTATGAATCTCTTTAAAAAAAAAGTATATATATATATATATATATATATATATATATATTATCGATTTTTTACAG